TTTAAATGTCTACACAATTATACAGTTACAATTCATTGAATAATTAACTATTTTTTATTATCAATGACATATTGGCTCAAATAAAAGAAACTTACTTCTTTTTAAATAATATTTTGCATACAAATCTTATATAAATTAAGAAACAAATGTGGGAGAGTTCTCTCTTAAAAAGTCTAACGTGACTTAACTTCAATTTAATCAAAATTTAATGTCTACACAATTACACAGTTATAATTCATTGAATAATTAACTATTTTTTATTATTAATGATATATTGGTTCAAACAGAAGAAACTTACTTCTCCTTAAATAATGTTTTGCATTCAAATTTTATATATATAATGCATTCAAATCTTATATAAATTAAGAGACAGATGTGGGAGAGTTCCCTCTTATAAAGTCTAACGTGACTTAAATTCAATTTAATCAAAATTTAATATAACTTTTGAATATCAAAAGTTTAATTAAAAAATAATAATAACTATTTTCTACTACATCTATGGAATTTAACTAACAATAATTTGTTATAAACAATTAATTTTCATCTATTGGATAATAGTTAATTGATAATAATTTTGTGAATAATTGATGGATATTAATTTTATCATGCTAACAATGATCAATTATTTGTTGGATCAAATGAAATTGAAGATGAGCTATTTGTGAGCGTCTAAAAGATTATTATAACTGATTAGATCCCTTTTTTCCATTCAAAAAACCATATTTTTATAAATAATAGAGTTAAAAAGTGATATGACACATTAGTTATCATTATATAGAGGTTAAATAAGGAGAAAAAACCTAAATCTCAATACTAATTATATTTATTTTATAGGCTTTGTCTCCAATGATTATTGAAGATTCTTTGATAACATATTAAAATATCAAAAAATTTATAACTGCAGTTACAAGTCAATATTGTCGAACTAAATCTAGCTTCCCCCAACGAGCATTCTTGCACAAAAGGAAATGGGAGAACTACCAAAACTGCGGTTAAGGCTAAACCATGAAATGGCTTATCAAACTTTTTGTAACGTTGCATCAGGCTTCATAAACCAGTTAGTTGGTGTGCCTGATGCCTTAATATTGGTTAAGGTTCAAATCATGGCGTTATTATGCTAAAATTTTCCATTTTCTTGCCTCCAACTTGTACCTATTCAAAAATAAAAAATAAGAGAAAAACTTTTTGCAGGGTCGGAAGCAAAAAAATCCAATTAGGATGCTTTTTAGCCCGACCCGTGCCATTAGGCGTTCGCTTAGCTTAGCTTATGTGCACAAAAAATCTTACACGATAGGATGTGGTTATGGTCAAATTTAATTTTGTTAAGATTATATAATTTAATTAATATTTTGTTAATTTATAATTATTTTATAATAATGAATTATAATATTTAAAAATATTTATCATAAATTAATTTTAATATATTAAATACTAAATATTATTTATTTTATTAATTATTTTTAATAATTAAATTGAAATAAAATTTTAATAATTTGTGTCGCCATAACAAATTCAAAATGTGGCAAGGCCTTGACATCCTTCTAAGGGAGAGAGTGTGACTTGGGGGCAAGAGCGTGGTTGGTTCATTACCCAACAATGTATGATATCTTTTATTTTACTCATAAAAGCTTTGCTGAGTTTATATTTATTAATTTAAAAATTTTTATTCAAAATTAATGTGAGAAATTTAAATTTTTATAATTGTTGAAAACATAAAAGAAAAAGAATAATTTGAAGAAATATTTATTGCTTTCTTAAATAATATTGTATGTACAATGACTTGTATATACAATGACCTGTATATAGATATTTACAAAAAAAAATATTTTAAGGTATAAAGTATACAAAAATAATATTATAAAATATAAAGTATTTATAGTAATTTCGAATATAATTGTGTTCACATCTCAATATCCCCCTCAAACTCAAGGTGGTTGTGATGAAGCAAACATGAGTTTGGAAAAAAGAGTACAAAAGCATCCAAGAAAATGAGTATTGGTCAAGAGATTTGCTGGTTGATCAGTGAAGCTAATGAAAACCAAATGAACAGTTTCTTGTGCAACATGATAGTGAACAAAGTGACAATCAACCTCAATGTGTTTAGTGCGCTCATGGAAGACATTATTATGAGCAATCTGCATAATACTTTGATTATCACAATATAAATTAGTAGAAGAAGGTTGAGGAATGCCCATATCTTCAAGAAGCCACTGTAATGAAAGAAGTTTTGATGGGGTATCACCGATAGCTCTATACTTAGCTTCAGTACTAAAGCGAGATGGAATAGTTTGTTTCTTACTCCACCAAGAGATAAGAAAGATACTAAGGAAAAGGTAGTAACTATTGGTAGATCTATGATTGGAAGGATCACCAGCCCAATTAGCATCAGAGTAAGTGTGAAGCACAGGGGAGGAGTTGGTAGAAAAATGGAGTCCATGAAATAATGTTCCCTTAACATAGCAAATAATGCGAAGTATTGCTGCATAATGAGTGGAGCGAAGAGCAACCATAAACTGACTAACATTGTGAACTGCGTATGCTATATCAGGGTGTGTTGTGATAAGATAAACCAGACTACGAATCAATTGTCGATAACAAGTAAGATTAGAAAGTGGAGAGCCATCCATAGGTGTAAGCTTGACATTAGGTTCAAGAGGTGTAGAAATACTCTTATCATCGTTGAGTTCAGCATTAGAAACAAGATCGAAGGCATACTTTTACTTGAGAAAGTAGGTAGCCATCATCTGAAGAGATGAATTCAAGCCTTAGAAAATAACTCAGAACACCAAGATCTTTCATCTCAAATTTCTAATTGCAAGATACCAAGATCTTTCATCTTAAATTTCTGACTGAGAGATTGTTTTAGTTCCTCAACACTTGCGTCATCATCTCCAGTAATAATTATGTTGTCAACCTAAAGAAGTAAAAGAACCATACCTTGAGCAGTCTTACGAATGAACAAAGCTGTATCATGTGGATTGAAAGTAAAACCAAACTCACTCACAGTAGCACTAAACTTTGCATACTAGGCTCGAGGGAATTGCTTCAACCCATATAATGCACATCGCAATCAGCATACCTTGTTTGGAGGATGGTTAAGCCTAGGAGGTGGTTTCATATAAACTTCTTCTTTTAGGTCACCATCAAGAAAAGCATATTTCACATCCATTTGAAGCAATATCCATCTCTATATAGCAACAATAGCAAGCAAACTGTGCATAGATGTGAGACAAGCAACTGGAGCAAATGTTTCCTCATAGTTTATTTCATACTCCTGTGTAAAACCCTTAGCAACCAAGTGTGCCTTATAACACTCCATAAAACCATTAGATCATGTTTTGATCTTGTACACCCATTTACAACTTATTACAGACTTTTTAGTAGAGAGATCAACTAAACCCTATGTATGAGTGTTCTCGAGAGCATGTAATTCATCTTCCATAGTTTGTTGCCAAAAAGGGTTAAAAGAGGCCTCTTGATAGGATTAAGGCTCATGTAAAGAAGTAATAGCAGGAAAATAATGATAATCACGAAGGTAGATGGGAGGGTTTTTTACTTGAGTAGGATGACTCGAGGATGGGACAACATGCTCATTCGTAGACTCAACAATATCAGATGCAATATCAACAGGTGATATAGATGAGGAAATAGAAGAAGGCTCAGAATTATCTAATGCATTACTAACAAGTAG